ATGTGGGGAGGAAACCAGAGTGCCTGGGGAAACCCACTTTCACAGAACAGATGCCAAATAATCTATCTTTCCCATGCCCTGGCTGTAACGCAATACACGATTATTGTTAAACATGGCATAATGGTTCACCCTTTGTGTGCATGTGTTTTTAGTTACTGTGGTTTTGTTGGCAAAATAGGTTGTATGGTGAGGTGTGTTTGGTGGGAGTGCTCAAGATTTTGTGTAGTGCTGTAGTCAGGCTGTTTCCTTTTTCTGCTCTTTTGTAATATTTAAAAGATAGGTTTGTTAATCTGTTCTTTAGTGTAGGAAGGTTGCTTAATTTCTGTATGTATTGTTCAGGGGTAAATGTTGGGAGCCTTAGGGCTAATCTTATGGCTTTTGTTTTGCTGAATTTGAAGTGTTTTGAGATTATTTTTGGAAATATTATAGATTATTTGGCAGCCGTATTCTTTGAGTGGGCATACAAATGTTTTGTATATTTTTAGGGCGGTTGTGGGTGAGCAGTTTGTGTGTTTGCCTGCAATTAAGACATATGTAGCTGATGTGTTTGCTGATTAAGGCGTGTATGTTCTGAATGTTTTTATTCCACATTAATCTGGTGTCAAAGGTAATTCCTAGGAAGTTTATATTATTGCTCATATTTATTTGTGTATCTTCTAGCATTAGTTTAATTTTCATGAGTGTATTAATGTGTTTGTGTAATTTTCTGTAGAAAGCCATGGCGTGTGCTTTCGTTGGATAAGTATCATTCACCATTTGTGATTCTAGTGATTTTTGAACATGAGTTGTGGCAATGATAGGGTTTCTGGATATGCTCCAGAATGCAACATTATCAGCATATTGGAAGTGGTATGTATATGTTAATTGGGGGAAGGGAATAGCATTAACAAATAAGATATTTAGGAGGGGGTGAAAGGATGGATCCTTGCTGCACTCCTGCTGTGATGTTGAATGTTTTAGTTATTACGTCATTGACTTTGGCTGATCGATTTATTAAGAAGTTTGCTTTCCATCTGATTACTGTATGGTTAATATTTAGCATATGTAATTTATATTTTATGGCATTGTGCCAGACACTGTCGAAAGCTTTTTTAACATCTAGAAATACACCTATGGTGGCTTGATTGTTATTCAATGATTTGTATGTTGATTCGGTTAATCACGTGAGGTGGTCTATTGTTTGTCTGTTTTTTCTTGAAGCATTTTAATACTCCGATAGGAGATTATGTTTTCCCAGAAGTATAAAAGTCTGCTTGATATAATTTTTTCCATTAGCTTACCAAGGCAACTTATCAAACTAATGGGGCAGAAGTTATCTGGGTTGGATCTGTCGGTTTTTTTTTTGGTTTTTTTGGGTATTACTGTATCTATTGCTTGTTTCCATGTGTTCGGGTAATATCCACTGAATAATGGCAAATTCATGATATTTGTTATGTGTAACAGTAAGAGGTTGGAAACTTTTTTGAGAACAATATTTCTTATACTGTCGTGCCCTGGGGCTGTATTTTTAAGTGTTTTGATGTTGATTTTTAATTCTGTAATAGTGCCTTTTCTATTTATTAAATTTTGTTGGTTGATTCTTATATTTTCATGCAAGTTGATAGACGGAAAACTTGTGGTGTAGAATGTAGAATTACAATTGATAAAGGTGTTTACGTGAGCTAAATGATCGGAATTGAAAGTTGGAGAGTTTAAGTTACTGAAGGAAGTTTTGTAGTAGTCTGCTAGTAGGTTTGCTTTATCTGCATCCGTTTTGGCTGTAGTGTTATTGTGTATTATTGGTTGAAATAATTGATTGTTGTTTTTGTTAGAGGATAAAGATTTGAATTTTTTCCAAAAGACTTTGGGTTTAGAAATTTCTAAATTATTACCAAAATCCAGCCAATTTGTTTCTTTAATGTTTTGTTTTATTTGTGTGTTTAATCTATTTATCTGTGTTTTAAGGGCGGGATCTCATGAAATGTAGTGTTGTCTTCTGAGACGCCCCTGCTCTATAATTAGAGTATGAATCTTAGAAGTTAGTGTCCAGTGATCATATGAATGTTGTGTTGAGATGGATAGGGTGGTTTCCGTTGTAGATTAGCTTATTGCTTTGGTTATGTTTTCTACATACGAGTCTATGTCGTGGTTGTTACTTATGTGTGTGATTATTGGCGGTAAATGATTGTTGAGTGTTTTGTTAAATTTCTGCCAGTCAGTCTTAGTGTAGTTATAAACTGGTGAGAGTTCCCACGGTGTTGGGGATCTGCTTATGTGAATTGTGCATGATATAGGGAAGATGTCACTTGAGAGTTCTTGATGGACTGTGAAATTTGTTGCTTTAGTTATTAAAGTGGCCATGTTTGTTGGCAAGTGATAATGTGTTGGTGTATTGTCATTTATGATGTAAATGTTATTTCTAGCTAGTAAGTCACGGATCGTTATTCATCTGAGTGTGTTTCTGTTTCCATTTAGGTCTTTATGTGGAGCATTTAGATCACCTATAATTAGGGGTTGGAAGTTTCTTGACATGCATTGTTGGAGGTAATTTATATCTATGTCTTTAAATGGGAAACAGTAAGTAGCTACTATTGGAATGGTTATTCTATTATTTATGTGGATGTCAGAGAAAATGATTTCATTTATATCAGAATTACAATTCTCTTCAATGGATATTATATTAGTTATATTACTTTTAAAGTACAGAACTATTCCTCTATTATTGTTTGTACATGTTAGAGAGTATGATTTAAAGCCTGAGATATTAACATTTTGATTTTCTTTAGTCAAAGTTTCTGAAATTATCAGGATATCAACACTGACCTGTTTGTTTAAGTTATATATTTCAAATTTGTTGGTGACTAAGTCACCTTGACAGTTAAGGTTCATTATTTTTATTGTGTCTGTGAATGTTGTGATTGTTTTGTGCATTGAGTTATTCTGAGTGAAATGTGGTGTGGCTTGAGATTAGGTAAGGGAAAGTAGCGCTTGGCAAAAATGCAGAGAACTTCTAAACACTCAACCCATGTAGAGAAGTCTGGGAAAACGCTAAGTTCTACCAACATTGAAAAGAGGTTTACAGTGAAATCAGCATAGTTGGTAGAACTTGGTGTGTTAGTGTTGCCGTATTGTTGAGTGCGAGTTACGCTCGCAATTGTGTTTGGGTTTAGTGCAACTGTGGGCTGAAGTGTAGTAGTGGAAGTGTTGTGTATGTTAGTGTAATCGGGTGGTGTTTTGAGCAGTGGCTGGCCTTGTGGTCAGGATAGAGGTGGAAATTCCATGTTTTGTGTCGTGGGTGGAGGTTGCGTCTTATTGGTTCTGAAAAGAACCCTATCCCGTACTTGTATGAACTTAGGGCATGCTCTGTAGCTGGAAGCATGGGGCCCTGGAAGTTGGTGCAAATAACTTGATTATGCTCATTCGGGCATTTGGCTACATCGTGGGGGCCTGAGAAACATCATTGGACTGAATATATGTGTCCATCTCACTACGAATAAGGTCACAGACAACCTCAAATGAGTGTGATCCCCCATCCCAACAGCTGAGTGATGCTAGATATCAGAGGTGGGATAGAAGAGACCTGATTTGCCTCCATGCTGAAAACAATAATGTGGGAATTCATGCTATATATCGGCTTGACAAACAAAAATCAACTAGGTAACACGAAGAATGCTCAAAATATCTCCAACGGTCACAGTACAGAAGAGAAACCCATTATTGAATGCTTTGTTGAGAAAAAGTGATAATATTATCTCAATGAGGTGTTTATATACAGTACCAGGAAAGAGGGTGCATTGATGCAGGTGGAGAGTGTCACAAGACAGATATTTCCAAGGGCAATTAAGTGGGGAATAAAAGACTGATGCAAGCAAGAAAAAACCAGACCAATGCTTAGTTGGACAAAGAAAGGTAAAAAACCCTAGCAGTAGAGTAATAGCTGTAGTGTAAGAGGAGGTAAGTGCAACATGAAAAGGCAGAGTTAAAAACGTTTTTAGATCAGTGATCTATGTCAACAAACTAGGTGAATCTAGTTTGTTTAACACAATACAACTGGCTAATCAAATTGCAGGTCAAATGCTGGTCATGTAATTCCCCAGAGTTTCTTAAGCATAGCTTGCAAGTACGATTTGTAACCAACTTTGGGTGGAGAGTGACTGGATATGCCAATTCAGTTGAACCTATATCATATATATAACTGTCTCACACTTGACATACACAAGAGAAATATGAATTAAAAAAAAAAGTAGGTTAATAATGTACAATATACTTCCAAAATAAGAATAACCAGTTTCTGTCTCCATAGTAACTGGAGATATTTTTTGTCAGTTGTAACTTGTTTTGTAAGAACTACTAAAAAGTAAAGTTATTACAACACTATAATTTTTGAGATTTTTCATTTTTCAAAATACAAAACTAACATTTTAACAATTTACCTTGTATGTTTAAGACTTTACTTAAATATATTCCAATTTCAAACATTTCATTTTTTCACTAATAATTTTAATAAGAGCTGTTTACACAAACTCTGATTGTATATTTTAACAACAAAAGTATGGAAGCTTCAAATTAACATTTACAAATATTATTCTCAACTTCATCATATAAGAATGTACATTATGTACCTTCCATATAAAAAACATTTATTTATTCTATTACCTAGAATTAATGTGCAAGTAATAGATATCAAAGTTGGTACAGAAAATATGTATATGAATATATTAAATTACATAAGTAATTCATGTTTAGTGTCATTAAATAACATAATTCATGAAATTAAAAGAAAATATTATAAAAATACTTTGATGTTTTCAATAATTGGAAGCTTTCTGGTATGAGAAAGTGCAGCCTAAGAATTTCTTCCACTTAAGTAGTCATGTCACCACACTTTGTATTTGAAGTTTACATCACCAACAATAAAAAAGAGCATTAAAATGACCACTTTCTTATAGAACATTGGAAGTATCCATTTATCAAAAAACCTTTAAACTTGTCATTCTTTCAAGGACAAGAAATAAACTTACATTTCATCATTGCCAGAATTCTCCTCTTTATTGGTTTCTGCAGGTTTTTCAGTAACATATTCCGTATTCTCCTAGAGAGGTGAAATTAATTGTAATACATTTTTCCATACAGAAAGTATGTTACTGTTATGGTACATTAAAGTAAAAGTAAAATGCAAATATCTTATTCAATTAAACACCATATAATGACAATAAACAGATCAAAACTGTGGATTTCTAATATAATACTCTCCAACTAGATACAAACAATTTGAACTTCACCAATTCTCTTCATCAGGGCTAGCACACTACTAACTACTGAAGTTTTGAATGTCACCTGATATAGAATATCTAGTTTATTTAAGATTTCATAGCAGAAGAAAACAGAAAATATATATATGTCATGGATATTATGGAATAAGTTTAATTTCTTTAACAGAAGATTTATAAGTTGTTGTGCCCAATACATCACTAAATTATTAATTATGAGAAGAATACTGCATTTTTTGGTGTATAAGACACACTTTTTTTTACCCCAAAATTTAATGTTAAAATCTGCTTGTGTCCTACACATCGAAGGTATGAATAATATATATGTATATATACGATATATACATGTTATGTGTAAATATATTTAAATAGGCATGCATAGTTTAGTTCAATTGAATGTGTTATTTATAACAATAGTAGGTTTTTATTTTAAAAATATAACTACTTATAAAGCTCCCTAAATAATAAAAAAATAAATTACAGTGAAATCAATGAAGATTTTGTAAGTTTTGAACCAAACTAAATAACAGTAAACCTTTTTTTGATTTACGGTATTTTCTTATTTGATGTTTTGAGCTCTTTTGTGTTTAGAACAATATATACTAATTTTTAAAGTATCAAACTGAATTTTTGTTCAATAAAAATCTTTCAAATGCGACTGTAGCTTTTTTCTCCAAAACTTTGTCTTCAAAATAAGGGTGCGTCTTATACACTGTTGCATCTTATATTCTGAAAAATACGGTAACATAAATAAAGAGTTTAATATAGCAATTTTATTCAGGACAGGAAAATACGTCCATATTACAGTGGAGGATACAGTTGTTTTGTGTTATGTAACCTAGATTATGTAGTAGATTAACTGAAGAAAACATTATTTATCATAATAAAGAATTTGGTGATAAAATAAAATAAACCATATAGGGTTGAAACATCCTTACCCTACTTCTAATACATTGGAACTTAGTTAAAATCTATGAAAATCACACTTCACTAACATAATCCTGCTTACACAAAAACTGGGTGATTAACTCGATATAATTATTTATGAGTATCAATTACATTGATTACTGTGACATAAAATTATCAAGTAATTGAAATTAGTATTTCTTAGCACTGGTATTTATTACAGTTTTTGCTTATTCCAACTATTCAAGTGATCAAAATATTGCCAATAGTATTTGTCTTTATTATTTTTGATTAATTCAAGTTCATTCAGCTTAATCTATTAGGGTCTATATAGTACTTTTAGCCTCTGGCAAACAAAAATCAAGATACATTTTTTTGTAATGGAGAAGGGAAATTATTACACAACTTGAATGACTCAACATAGCCTTTGCTGTTTCTTCAAGAGTTGACTATAAGTTGCAGCAGACAACATATTGTCACTGAGCACATGATTTTGCACCTGTAAAAACAAAGAGTTGGATGAAAATAGCAGTTCCTGTTTATAGCCAATGTTTGCTTTTCAAGTTGGGAAACATTAATTTAAAGTAACTCAAGATTGAACATGTATGATGGTTACTCAGAACTTAACAGCAAACTTCTGGCCAATGGGAAGTTGCTTGAAAAAATTCACCCTGTAGCAGCAATAATGTAATTAAAAATATCCTTCTTTCACTTGATGGTATTAATTATTTGCTTAATCTATTTTTTATTATTTTCTCTGGAGGAAAAAAGGGTGGGAGGATCCTAATTTTAAGATTTGAAAATCTGAATGTATCCCAGTTTTATGATCTAAAAATCTGGTCATCTTCTAAAAGCATAAGACCTGGTGCAACTGCACTGCTTGCCCCTGCCTAACAATGGCACATTTTAATCTCCAAACTGAATTGTGCTAGTGAATCTTTTATTTTATTCTACATGTGAATGATTTTGAAGAAGTATATCAAGTTATTCTTAAGTAAACTTTGTAGTAAACAGGGGCTGTACCGTTTCATTTCATACTCAATGTTTGTGAAATATGTGATTTGTTGAATCATCCAGTTTCTTCTAGAAAGCCTTATTAAGCACATTAAATGTTGCTTTCATATGTGACTGCTGCATTTACTTAAGGATTAAGAAACTGATATTTAGTGATTCATTCAAACCAAATTTGAATTTACTTTCTGTACAGATGCACAAGAAGCAATGTTTATGCATCAAATCGATGTACCTTAGTAGATTTATTCCCATTTCATCTACTGTCACTAAGTCTACCCTAATGTAATCATATACCAAAATAAATGTTTTATACTTTTTTTTTGTAAACTTAGTATGCCACTTTATTGTAAATGAAAAAACTTTAAAGTAGTATTATAATTTCTTGAGAAGAAGATAGGTTTTCTTATGTGATATATTTGTAGTGTATATCTGCATGTACATAAAAAATATTGATGTATGAATGTGTTAAGTCTATTGCATTGTACTGTAAACAGTATAAATACAAAACTGCTTTGTTTCTAAAACTGTGCCAAAGTGATTTTTGTATCTAAACTTTATTCTATATTTGACAACCTGATGATCGTATTTTTTTAGGTTTATTCCCATTTAGTCTATTGCCAATGGAAGTAGATGAAGTGGGATGATGTCCATTAATCACTGCTGAATACTGTCTTTAAAGCTATTTAAGCCTAGAACTAGATGAATTAATCAATTAATGTCATCTACACTAAATAATTAATCAAAATTATGATTAACTGATTAATGTCACAAAATTAATAAAGTAAATAAAATTATTGTTTCTGATTATTACCGTTTTCATTTCAATTATTCCAAAAATTAATATCTCCAAATGACAGTTACATCGATCATCATAAAAATATTCATCTAATTGAAATTAGTTTCTAATCATTTACTGCTTATGATTATTACAACTATTCAAATAGCTGAAATATTACAATTATGTTTGTTTGTTGTTAAGCTACATAATGGGGGGCATGATTTAAAGGTCTCAGGTTTGATTCCAATTATGACTAAATTTACTTGCTCTTTGTTATGGCAAAGCTATTAAGGGTGTCCTATCTACCACTAATTAATTTTGAACTGCTGCCTACAGGGAAAGGCAAATGGTTGAGAGCACCCACTACTAACTGTCTGACTAATTAAATGTTAAATAAAGTGCCAATTTAATGGGGTTTTTTTTGCTGTTTTTTGCATCATGTTACATTTCTAACTTAAAAGGGGTAACTGTATTCTATAATGTTATATAAGGAGGCACATATCTAGAAAGGTCTGGACTCACTCCATTTTTTCATCAATTAATAACTATATTCTTTCATGTTGTATAAACAGGGGCATATCTAGAGAAGTTAGGAAGACAAACCCCCTCCACCCATTTTTCAGAAATTAATAACTGTAAAAGCAGGCACAGATATCAGAGGGGGGGGGGTCTGGACTCCCATTTCTTCAATAATTAACTGTTCTTTAATTTTGTATAAGCAAGCAAGAGTCCTACACCCATTTTCTTCAGAAATTACTAACTGTATTATTTAATGTTGTATAAGTAGGTGCAGAATTTTTACACTAATATATAGTATAAAAAAGAAAACATTAGGTGTCAGTATTTTTATTTAACTGGGCTATTATTTACCCCAAAAGCTTCTTTTTGGTTTTCTGAAATCAACACAGTTGGAGTCTACAGCAATCCAGTTAGGCCTTAGCCAATAACTAATTAGTTCTAGGCTAGTATAACAATATAAAGATCAATTAAATGTTGCAATGGTAAATTTCAGTCTTTGCCTTTATCCAGACACTCTAGTAACTGGACTTTAGATATTTGTTTTCATTAATGTTGGTATCATTTAGGACACCTGTAGATCTTATGACACAGACTTGTTACAGAATCAATTTTTCATTGTCTAAATGTTAGAATTCTTGTGTGTAAACAATCTTTTATGAATAGTTGACATCTAACATAAGTGAAAATGCAAGTAATGCGACTGTGTACGTAACAACTTTAATAAAAAAGATTTTTAAATAGTCATCCTGTTTACTAATGTTATAATTTTGTTGTTAAATGATTATAGATAATTACAATTAATTTAAATAAAAAGTTTGAAATGTTTGCTTCTGTTTTTTTATATTTTCAGATAAAATCAAATTAATAGAAATAAAGATACAACCTCTTAAATCACTGAATTATAACATGAGGCTAAGATAATCATTTCAGAATATATTATATTTCTTTAACTTTGACACACTTAGGTTACTTTAGGACTAATTGGTCAACACTAATTAATCCATGATACTATATTATTATAGTGGAAGTCTCTTCTTTTATTTACAAATAATGAAAATTTGGTTGGTATTACACACCTAATTGGTATTATATCATCATTGCAAAAATGAAACATTACTGCAGCTAGTGTGAAGAAGTTAAACACATAATAATACAATATTGTCTGAATATACTTTATAGTTTTATTCTTATTCATTCCCTAATGGTTTTCATGATTTGTAAGATAACATTATAACTATCAAAAGTTTTATTTTACAATCCTATATTTTATGTTGTTCTCGTTTAAATATAGGCTACTTGAAGCATACCAAAAAAATATACTAAGTTTTTACTTTATCTACTTATTTGTTTACCTAATTGTTGTAGATATGCTTCTAAACATGTAAAACAATACTGAATTGTCTGAAAAAAAATAAGTATGTTGAAGCTGCAATGGTAAAATGTTGGTAGAAATACTTTTTTTCATTATCATCTGGAGAGTCAAGATTGTGTTTTCTAACTTTATTGCCAAAGTACAAAAAAGTATACACATTTTTGTTGCAACATAACACTCAAAAGTGAATAAATATTTTACTGCTTTTAAATATTAAACAAAGCAGTTACTTTGTTTGTATGATACAATTTCATGTTCAAAGTTTAGGGTTAAAAAAGTAACTTATTCTAAATTATTGTGCCTGAAGTCTGAATATTGGACTTTCTTTGTCTTTCACATTTTTACACCACTAGATAAAAATCTTTCAGAGAAATTTTAAAGTCAATTTTACATGTTAATTCTTATCATTATATTTAAAAAGTTTTAACTCAACAATATTTTGCAATGTTCTGACATTTATTTTGTGTAATTTAAGAAGGAAAAAAGTTCATATTTTCATTTCTGAATAACACCGAAGAGTTTTGCCCACTTGTTGATTTTCTTTTTTTTATCACTGTTTTTTCTGCTATCTCTAAAATTTCTTTTACTTAGAACCTATCACCCTTTAAGAATATATTATCCACTTTTTATTTTTCAAACATTTCCCTTACTTTTTGTTCAGGCCTTGGATGAAACCTTGCTAGGTGCCACATCAAGTGGTTTAATCATTTACTAATAAAACAGAGTAATGAAAACAGCTATAAAGAAATTTTAAATATAATTGAATAGATCAAGAATGAGACTATCATGTAATGGTAGAATAATATAAAGGTTTAAAGTTCTTTAAATTTTCTGTAAATGTTAATTTCAGTTCCATTTGTTTGTTAATTGTGAAAGTATTTATGTTTTAAATTATATCTATTTGAAAGCTACAGAAATTTTCTTCCATGAAAAGACATCAGACCACTTGAGATAAGGTACACTTATAAAGTTGAGAGACAAGATGAATGAGCAAAAACATTTTATTAAAAGTTTAACACAGTGACAAACATACAATGTTTGGAGAAGGTTTTGTCACCACTATATTCAAGTAGTTTATCTAAACACAGGAATATACGAGGCCTGTGAGAAAAGTATCCGACCTTATTTTTTTTTGCGATAACCTGATGGATTTGAATCAAGCGCGCTTGCATGAGCCGACCTTGAACCTTCGTGCGCATGTGTGAATTTTTTCCTGCTTGTTGATTGCATCAGTTGTTGGCAAGCAGCTATTGAGTGAGGTAGTGTGTAGTGCTCTCGTCGGTTTTTCATTGCAAGGAAAATGACGGAACGACTGGAGCAGCGCTACTGCATCAAATTTTGCCAGAAACTGGGCGACAGCCAGGTGGAAACCATTCGGAAGCACTCCATGTCACCAAGACCAAAGAAGGCCCGCCAAGTGCGCAGCAACGTCAAAGTGATGCTGACTGTTTTCTTTGACTCCCGCGGTGTGGTACACCACGAGTACGCACCACAGGGTCAAACAATCACCAAAGAGTACTACAGGGATGTCCTCCGTCGCCTACGTGATGCTGTACGGCGCAAGAGACCGGAGTTGTGGTCAACAGGAAATTGGCGCCTCCATCACATTCCTTGATTCAGACTTTGTTGGCGAAA